ACATAGGGTCGGTGTGACTCAGCAATGGTCTCAAAACAGTGCACTGAAGAGGAACAAGGTGCCTCAGCAAGTTTGGGGGCAGAGGCAGCCTTTGACCTGGAATATTTTGCAGGGGCAATTTCTTATTCCCTTTTCCTTCCTTGCTCTATTTTCAGTCTAAGACTTTTCCACACTCCTTGAAGTCTTGCATTACTGAAGTAACCTTCTGAATGCGAATCACTGTGGCTAGGATAAGTCTCCTTAAAACTATCCCTGTGGTCAGCAGGGCCTCCTCCTGAATATGCACGCTGGATTTCCAAGAAAGTTCATGGTCATTTTTTTTGACTGAGCAAAGACACTGGCATTTGATTCTCAGGTCTCTAAACCTTCTGTCTACATGCTGAGTAAGTTTGCACAGTAATCCCAGGTAACGAAAAGTTTTGGTTAATAATTCAGCTCATGTCCGCTTCTTTACAAAAAAAAAAAAAAATGGGTAATGTACATTCTTGGAAGATTTGCCTGAGTCGTGCTAGACATGTTTGCATAATACCCTGAAATCCCATAGTATAAATGCAAGTACCAATACACTGAAAGATGAATGTGAAGACATCTCCTGAGATCGCAAGTCAACCCACGTTGTGTCTAACCTTAGCATCTTAGTCTACATGTCTTCTTAAAATGAGCATAAACATCAAAAAGACTTCATTCTTGCTGGAAAAAGCTGGAAGATATAATGATTGTTTGGCAGTTTATCTTCTAACAATGTTAGATTCTGGGTGGCTGCCACCCACCAACTCTCACCACTCCCAGGAAGAAGTCACTCCTGAAAGGAAATGGAGAATTGCCTTCTGCCACTGTTCCCTTCTCCTTTCTGTGCATCCCAACCCACCAAACAAGGATTACAGTTCGAAATGGTTAAAAAGCGTGTGTTTTGAGATCTCGTTGTATTAGTAGGAAGACTGGGGAACTACTTTTACTGGCTGTTTAAGATATCATCTCATCTGAATTAATTGCAATTATATGCAGCATGAAAAAGGCCTTTTATTCGCTGATTCAACCTCCAACTTAAAGAAACATATTCCTCACGTACCACTTACACACGACTTTTTAATTCTCAGGTGAATCAAGGGTGTGATATCATCCTGTGTTTGAGGTCCACTGCCATGGACTCTAAAGCTGTTGCACAAATTTAGCTTAGAGACATGGCCATCCATTGGTCATCACACAAGAGGACACCTTGCTCCTGGTCTACCTTATTTTGCTAGGTCAGCTCACTAACATAGCCTCAATGAACAGTGTTAACTGGCAATCAGAACTCAAGACTTCCCAAGGGAGGGGTTGTACCCAGATAGGGAAAGGAATGCAAAATCAGAAAGCTCTTCTGGCTAAAGTCCACCTTCTACAGATCCAAGGAAAGAGGAAATGAATATCTTTGGTCTCTCTGAGTCAGATTACTAGAGGCAAATTCATTGCTTCAGAGATTCTGGGATGACTAACAGCTCTGGAGTATCCCAACCCTTCCACAGCCACCCTATTGAACTAGGGCCCTGACGCTACTGGAAGAGCTGAGCTATGGCTATGAGCACAGTGGGAGTCTTCTCCTCCTGGAGAAAACAGATATTTGGGACATGAGCCATGGAAGCTCGATTTCTAGGGAAGGGGCTAGAAAGGCCAAAAAGCCTGATTTTAAAATAAATAAATAAATACAGAGAAGTAAACCAAAAGGCTGTCATTGCTTAATAGGCAGTTTTGTGAAGTGCACCTTCAGGTCTACAAAGACATTTCAGCACATTCTAGTGCAAAGGAGTAAGAGTTTTTGTCAAAGATTGCATGCCTATGCTACACAGCTGATCCCTGTACTTCATCCTTACTGAAGTCTTCGCAGCAAGCTACGGATGAATAAGCAGCTTTTGTTTTCGCCATACCACCCTCCCCCCCAATTCCTCACACTTCTTCCCCAGGCCCCGGCCTGCAGATTCACCACATGCAGCACTTCTTTCCTGTAGCACATGCAGAAGAATCAACCAGTCCAGGGGGTAACTAGGAAAAGTATGCTGTGTAGCCATGAGCCAGTTTCTTTAGTCTTGGTCCCGTTTTCTCTAGCCCATCCATCTCACAGTACCAAATGGATTATTGCTGTTGACAGAGGGCAGCAGTTCAAGTTCTGTCTATCCTAGGCCACAACATGGGAAGAAAAGCTCAAGATGTCCCTGGGAGCATGGAACAGAGATCTTGACTTGTCTGCCTCAGTGGGGACTGGTAAGCAAGTAGGAGAGGACTAGCCAGGGCGAGATCAGGTTCAAACAAGAAAGAATCAGCACACAAAGGAGTTTAATGCCCTGTATCAATGGCTGTGCAGTCCTCAGACCCTCACTCTTCCATGAGACTGCTGAGTTCTTACAGATTCACGGACGTCCCTACAGGAAAGTCGAACATCTTTATCTTCCAGTCTGTCTGGGTGTAACTTGAGTTTCTTGGTGGATTGCCACAATGCCAGTTCCAGGAGAGGATGAGGTGGGAGACAGGAATAAAAGTAACAATGAAGGCTCTAGAAGAAGCCGGGCAGGAACATAGAGGTGCTCAACAGCAAGTGGTCACCTGCGAAGCACAGAGTGAAGGTATCCCCCACCTCAGTGTCCTTAAACAGGCTGCGAGTGCCTCTGCATGAGTAGACAGATGCCTGTCTTTGGAGGCAAGGGTCAGGTGGCTCTTTTTGATCTGGGCACAGGGTCCCCTCTATTCTCTGTGCTGAGTGATCGAGGCAGCACAGATCACATTGCAGCTTGTAAAGTAACTGCCAGGTGGGAAAATCTTGGAAAGCATCATGGGAAATCTCTGAAGGGCGGTGGGCCAGGAAGGAATGACGAGCTGAATGTTCCCAAATCCACAAGGATGCCTGAAAAAACAAATCTCAGGCTGTGATTTGCAAAGTGCTTTTGGCCAACAGAGACATTAGAAGGAAATGTGTCGGACCCGAGGAAGCTTTGTATGTCCATGATGGCCCTCTGTAGGAAAGACATTCCCAAAAGGTTTATCTTGACTTCTGGTGGGGAAGAGGAATATACAAGTTCATGTTCAAGTCCAGTTCAAAGATGGGCCTCCAATCACACCCAGAGTCAGGCTGCCAAAGGGACCAAGTTTGGTGGGTGGCCAGAGACACAGCACCTTCTTGGGTCTCCTCTCTCTCGCTCGTCTCTCCAACATCTAGGGTGGTGTGGTTTTCTTGCAGCGGTGAAGTGAGAAAGCATGGATGGCAAAAGAAAAAGCAAAGGATTGGTGCCCCAACCCTCCCTCCCTTCCTTGAAGTCACTTCTTAACCTTGGTACAGAGGCACTTTCTGCATTTCACTGCGGGCAGAGGATAAAGGCACTAAGCAACTATTTAAATCAATTGATTGTGTTTCTTCAGGAGCCTCAAGGGGAGGGCTGAAGTCTCTACAGACTTCAAATCATGACTGCAAAAAGAAGTCGGCTCTGCTTTGGATGCATACAAGAGATAAACATTTTCATTTACATCCTAAGAATGCACCAGAAAACATGCACAATTGCACCTTTGTTTTGTTGGTTTGTTTTGCTTGTTTGTTTTTTTTTATCTTCAGCTAGAAAGAATACTTGTCCTTAGGTGTTTTTTTTTTCCTACATAGCTTAAAGACTTATCTAATTTTCCACGGAGCTTCCCTTTAAGGGATGGGCATATAGGTCCTTTCTCGGCAGAAAACCTGACATTTCCCTGAGCGAAGGCAGGAAAATTGACTAAGTGTCCCCCACCCCCACCCCCACCCCCACCCCCCATGATTTCTTTGGGGCCTTTCATCCCACACACTTGTAATTTTTATTATTTTTAAAAATGTGTTACTGAAACCATGCATTAATTAAATCAAGGTACGTCTTAGTCCAATAGGCCATGATGCGGAATAAGAGAGCATGCTTTGAGCTCCAAAATGTTATTGTCCCCTTCTGACTAATGTATGCACTTCAATACAGTACTTCATTTACTAAGAAAGTAGTTAATAAAGGAAGGAGAGTGCACTTTTGGTGAATGCAAATTAAAAACAATCTATCTTGAGAAGAGTTGATTTCAGCTACTGTCTTGGGTTGAGGTTCTTGGCATGCGACTATAAAGTAAATGTTATCCGATTCAAACATGCTTGCACGGACCTCCACGTGTGCTCTCTGCCAATAAGGAGACCTGGGTGTTCATATCCAGTTCTGAAGGCTGGGACCAGCTCCAGGACTGGTGAGGAAAGACCTGGATTTGGCTCACCTGCAGCTGAGAACAATTAGCAGCACTGCAGAGGATTCAATGAGCTGAATTCAGTGCTCTTTCTCTGAGCCCATGACCTGGATCGGAAGAACGGGGCAGAGCAAATAGCCTCACTGCTCAGACTTATCAGGGGCCCTGTGGACCCGTCCTAAGTAACTTGGGGTTTGCTTTGCTTTTCTTATTTTCACCCCGTCATATGCAGCTCAGGTGATGACAACAGAAGCTCCATTCGCTGCCCTTTCGGGCTGGTGGATCATGTTACCTACACAATGGACTGCCTCACATGTGTTGTGCAGTTTGCAAAGGTTCTACACTGGAGTCCCATGCAAATACTAGTTTTATATTTCTAAGTGTTTGGGTTTTCAGTTTAACTTCAAAAAAAGAAATTCAAGAAGCCTAAGGGTTAAGAATGTTTTAGAGTGGGGAAGCGTCTAAATCTTATTTCACTTAGTTTATGAACTTTGTTGTTATTTTTTTTAAAGCCAGTTTTAGAAAATATCCTTTCTCTCTCTTTTATGTTTTAATAAAATGAAATTAGTTTCTTTTCATGGCTCTTGTAAGTGTCTGGTCGGCCACTTCCAGAAGCCACAAAGGCGACAATGCGTTGACAGTTCAACAGAGCCAGAGGCTAGCAAGTCAAACTATCTACAGAGTGTGGCCGCGAGTCCTGGGGGGTGGAGGGGGAGAGGGGGACGGATTTTTTGTGATCTAAATCTGGTCAGCAAGGGCTGCTCTGCATGCACCTGCTGGCGTGTGAGTTTAAACATCGGTCAGCAGCTTGCTCTTACGCACGCAGTTCTGGCTAGCTGCGGTGCAGTTCCCAGTTCTGATGTTGGGCTGTCTAAAGTGGGCTATGCTATTATTCAGATCCTCCTCAATCTCCATATACTCGGACTTGCTCACCGTGGAGGAACTGCGACGACTGAGGTCGCTGTCAGAGGCTAAATTCGGGGCGCTGACGTGGAGCAGCTGAGCTTGCTCCTCCCCCTCAGTTTCTCGGTGGTAGAAATAGTTGAAATTGGACACAATGACAGGTACGGGCAGGGCAATTGTCAGCACACCAGCGATGGCACACAAGGAGCCCACGATCTTGCCTCCAATTGTCACAGGGTACATGTCACCGTATCCCACGGTGGTCATGGACACCACCGCCCACCAAAAAGCATCGGGGATACTGGAGAAGTGCGACTCAGCTTCTTCCGCCTCGGCAAAGTACACTGCGCTAGAGAACAGGATGACCCCAATGAAGAGGAAGAAAATGAGCAGCCCTAGTTCCCTCATACTAGCCTTGAGGGTCTGGCCCAGGATCTGGAGACCCTTGGAATGGCGGGAGAGCTTGAAGATCCTAAAAACCCTGACCAAACGGATCACCCTGAGGATGGCCAGCGACGTGGCCTGCTCCCCTTTCTGGTTGCCCTCCTGCTCGGCTATCTCGGTGCCCAGCGTGATGAAGTAAGGGATGATGGCCACAATGTCGATGAAATTCATGATGTTCTTGAAGAAGTCCGTCTTGCTGGGGCAGGCGAAGAAGCGCACCACCAGCTCGAAGGAGAACCAGATGATACAAAGCGTCTCGACGATGAAGAAGGGGTCGGTGAAGATGCCGGAGCTGTAGACCACCGTGGTGTTGTCAACCCGGTGGAAGGTACCCGTGAAGTCCTTGTCGTCCTTCAGCTCGGGCAAGGTCTCCAGGCAGAAGATGACGATGGAAATGAGGATGACCATGACCGAGACAATGGCGATGACCCGCGCCGGACCCGAGCTCTCGGGGTACTCGAAAAGCAGCCACACCTGGCGCTGGTATTCCTTCTCCGGCAAGGGGCGCTCCTCCTCTTTAATGAAGCCCTCGTCCTCTCGGAACTTCTCCATTGCCTCCTCGCCCAGCTCGTAAAACTTGATCTCCTCGGAGAACATGTCCAGGGGCACGTTGACGGGCCTGCGCAGACGGCCCCCGGACTGGTAGTAGTACAGGATGGCGTCGAAGCTGGGCCGGTTACGGTCAAAAAAGTACTCATTGCGCAAGGGGTCGAAGTAACGCATGCGCTTCTTGGGGTTGCCCAGGAGCGTATTGGGGAATTGCGCCAGGGTCTTGAGCTGCGTCTCAAAGCGCAACCCAGAGATGTTGATCACCACGCGCTCGCAACACTCGTGCTCGTCGTGCTCGTCCGGCCGCGGATAGCTGCCCTCAGCCGGGTGGCCCGGGGCGGCCGAGGCCTCGTCCGCGTTCTCTCCAGACATAACCGTCATGCTGGAAGCTGGGAGCGGGCTTGGGAGGCCAGGAGGAGCCCCAGGGCCGTTGAGGCGCAAGGGAGGAGAGGTTGAGGTGGGGTGGATAGGCTGGGTGGGGGGCGGAGGACCGGGGCGCCCTCACCCCGCCTCTACCGCGGTGCGCGTCTGCCCCCTCCCGCGCTCAGGGGGAGGGGCTTCTGAGCGAGTAGGTACGGAGAGGTGCAACTTGGCTCCTGACCCCTCCACCCTGCCTTGGTACTCAAATTGGGCTCCCCGCCCTGGCCCTGGACCCTGGTCCTTCGGGACCGGAGCTTTGTGCCAAGGGTTGGGTTTGCACGATGCGCTTTTTTGTTTCTCTAGGGACTTTTTGCCTCCTCCCCCCCCCCGCCCTTCGCTTTATTTATTTATTTATTTTGGGTATTCCCTTCTGCTCCATTGGGCCTTAACGCAGCGCCGCCCTAGTGGGCCGGGCCATGGCTTCAGGGCTGGTGCTACCTTCCCCTCCCCTTTCGCCAACTCTCCAGGGGAACAGAAGCAATGCCAGCTCAGCGGAGCCTCACGCCTGCCAACCCGCTCCGCCACTCCTCGGCTCACCCCCCTCCTAGCCCTCTTCGCCTGCCGCCTTCCTTCTAAGCTCGCATCGGGGCGGATCGATGGACGCTGCGGAGAGATAGAAAGTGATATGGGGGAAAGGGGGGAGGGCAGAAAATCAGAAGCGTTCGGATGGGACGAACCTACAGACAGCAAAGCGCACAGACGTGCAAGCTTCCGGAGACAACACTGGACTTGGAGGCAGGATATCACACACGCGCAGACCGACAGACACACAAACACACGCAGGCGCCCCCCAAATCCAACTTTGTGGCTCGTGCGTCCCGCTTGCCCTAATGCCGGATAGCCAATCTGTAAGCAACTCCGGTTAAACTAGGAGATCCGAAAAGCGCCGAGAGACCCCGAGAGGGAGACCTCCGGATCCCGAACAAGCAGCCCCGCATCCTCCACCTCTCACCTCCCGCCACCCCTGTCCGTTCCCGCCGTCCCCACCCCGACACCCCAACCTCCTGGTACTGCAGCCTCGAGCTGCGGTGCGTCCTTACCTGGCCGGCAGGCTTAGCGCAGGGCGGTGCGGAGTGGGCCAACAGCCGGGGTGGAGATGCGGCAGGGCGGCTTGGCAGCAGTCAAGCACGGCGGCCACAGCATCCGAGAGGAGGCGCCCGGGAAAACTCGCCGCCTGCGTCCGCTCGTCCTGTGCCCCTCTCAGTCGGACGATCGCGTTCCCGAGCAGCCGCGGTGGAGTCGTGCGTTCCCTGCCCCCATGCTCACCAGGAGCCGGCAACCGGGAGACTCCGTCCTCTCTCGCGCGGGTGCGGGGAGTTCCGGAGGGAGGGAGGAGATGGGAGATGCGGAGCCGAAACGTACAACTGTCTCTTGAAGGTAGAGGCAATTGCCGATCCACAGTCCTCTCGCCCCCTCATAGCACGGTGGGAGCCCCCTGGACTGGATCCCAAGGAGGCGGGCTGGAGCCGGGGTCTACATGGCTCTCCGCAAACCCCCAGCGTGGAGCTGGCTCCGGGAGCCTTCAGAAGCAGCGCCGAGTGGGGCAGGGTGCGTGCGGCAGCGAGTCCGCTCGGTCCATTTCTGGGTGCTGCAAGATCAGCAGAAACCTGAGAAAGCGCCTGGGATGCGGAGCAGCGATTGGCCCGCCCGGGCGTGGGTTGGGGAGGGCGGGGGAGGGCAGGAGCCAGGAGGTAGCTGGAAAATAGGAGGGGGTGGTTTAGCAAAGAGGGGGTTGTCGTTCGGCTCCCACCCTCGCCGGCGCAGCTCTTTCCGTCCCTCCCTACCAGGAAAAGCCGACCACCAACTCTCCACTTCCCTTGGTAGCCCGCAGCGCCAGCCCACGCAGCGGCCCCGGCCGCGAGCGACCTTCCCCCGCGAATTTCACATTGGGAAGAGTCAGGTCCGACGCAATGCAGGCGGATGATGTTCCTGGCACAACTCCGCGCCCGAGGTTGCGATTGTGCAGCCCCACAAGGTTCCCTTTCGAACCTAGCGGTTCTGCACTCCAGCCATCTCTCTCTCTCTCTCTCTCTCTCTCTCTCTCTCTCTCTCTCTCTCTCTCTCTCTCTCTCTCTCGTCCCCTGCGCTCTGCGGAGACCCCACCTGGCAGAGGAGTCACCAGCTTTGGGGCACAGCTCTGCAAGCTGGGGCTCCCGAGGATTGGGGGCTCCTGGGCGGTGGTGTTGAGAAGACTGTCCCCTCGTTCACCAGGAGGGAATTGAAGTTCTCTTACGCTCAGATTATTTTGAAATGCAGAGAGTGTGACTCGTGGGGGGCGGAAGGTTTCGTGGGTTTGTGGGGTTGTCTGCCAACTTGGTGCTAATTGGGACCAATCTGAGAAGCAAGTCGCCTACTCGCCTCCCACGGCATCTTTCTCCGGCCTAGTGTCTCTACCCAACCACTTTCCAGGCTTGGAACTTCTTCGGAAAAGGTCGCCGGCGCCGGGGCACAAGGCAGCTGAAGCAGGGGGCTGCGCGCACCGATGGGGGACTGCAGCGCTGGACCGCGGCAGCCGGCAGCATCGCGCACTGGAGCCGCGGCCGAGTCTCGGAGGAGGCGGCGCGAGCCTCGGAGTCACCGCTGATTGGCTGGTCCGCGGCCTTGGAACCTCCCTTCCGCGCCACCGCGATTCTTGCTGCCTCCCGCCTACACCACCCACCTCTTTAATCAAAGCCAAGGGTTGCACTCTATTGTGGCTAGTGGAAAGCTGGGGCCTCTGCGGGGCTGGCCCTGGGCGGGCGCAGGAACGAACCTACTCAAATCCCTCCTCCAGACTCAGACCAATAAATAAATAAACAAACAACAACCAAAAAAAGAGTGTTTTTCCCCCTCCTGGGGCTCCAAACCCCGGGTTTCTCTGTTAGGAACAGTCAGTTCTCTTATTGTCTTATAGTAAGCTCTGCCCCCTTTCTCCTTTCCATATACATGCCCTTCAGTTTCAGCAGCTCCCTTCTGCTCTTACTGCTTCATCCATCCATATCTCTCTCTCTCTCTCTCTCTCTCTCTCTCTCTCTCTCTCTCTCTCTCTCTCTCATATGCAACTGTGTTGTACTATTGGCAACTCCCTTGGTTTTGTTGTTGCTGTTCATGGAATCCTATCAGACAATCCTAGGAGATCATCAGCATGTTCTGATTACCTCCCATCATGCTGGCCTCCTCTATTCTCCCTACTCTTGTGCTTGCCTTTTCATTTAACCCCTTCCCTTTATTTAAATACTCCTAAGACTGATATCTGCCTTGCTTCACGTACATGCACTTGCTGTAATTCAGTGTTGGCCTTGCTAGAAGATTCACAGGCTGGTATCTTAAGTCCTGCATTCAGAGTTTCTTTGGGGGAGCAGTAATAGGCGTCACCAAGTCCCCGATGGAAGTGTTTGAAACAGGACTGGACTTCCTTTGAACTGGGAAGGAACTTGTTGGTTTCACATTTCAGTCTTCCTGATGCAAGTCCTTTATTGGGAAGGGTCTGGAGGTATTTGTTCGTCCAATCAGTATTTGCTTAAGCCATTTTGTGATAGGCATCGTTCTAGCACCCGTCAGGCAGAAATCACTGAGATACACTGTCACAGACCTCGTGGAGTCCCTGCTCCACTGGCACATGAAAGCTATAAGCAAACAGGCCATGCATTATCGTGTCAGGTGAAGAATGCTTGCAAAAGAAGGACGGAGTATAATACTACAGGTTGACAGACATGCTGGCCTGTCTACAGAGGTAACTCATGATCAGAACAGTTACAGAAGGAGACATCAGCACACCAGAAAGTATGTCTGGGCAAGCAACTGCCACACTTCTAGGACAGAAACAAGCTCGGCAGCTTCTTCACGAACAGGAAAGAGCCGGTGCGGCTTAACCAAGGAAGAATGTGCTAGGGGGAGCGGTAGAATGGTGAGTGTGGGCCGGATTATACAGGGTCTCTTAAGCCGTGGTGTGATCGTTTGTCTGTATCTCAGTGTGACTGGGAGATATTGGAAGACTTGCACCCATGTAGTTATAATACCTGCACATTTTAGAGATAAATCTGGATGCTAGACACAAAACTCTGGTTTAGAGGTCATGGGTAGAAAGGGCATTGATGACTTAAGCTAGGAAGATGGTGGGAGGCTGGTGAAGACTGGTTGGAACAGAATTAGATATTTCCCTATGAGATGCAAGGCTCTGGGGTGCAAAAAGAGAAGTTTTGAGACTAAATCCTAGGCTTCCAACCTTAGGAACTAGATGGAGGGTGGCGTGATTTGCTGAAGGAGTGCATTGGGGAAACTCATCGCTGCCAGAATATGTTACGTTTAGTGCCTGGAACATTGTGGGTTTCAGTGGTGACTGCATTGGGCAGTGTAGGCTTCTCTCCAGATCCTCTGCACCTCCCCACTCTTCTTGCCTTGTGGTCATCAGCCCCACCACACGTGCTGCTGGAAAAAGCCAATGCTGTGTGGGCAGCAGAGCTCTGCCTGAGGTTGACCACATCGCAATGAGCGGAAAGTGGACTCATCAAGACTGCAAAGCCATACGGCAGGATGAGCTGAGCAGAAGGATTGGTGCTTATTCGATGGGTAACAGAAGCTAGGAGCTCACACAAAAATCCCTGCTCACAGTAAAGCAAACACATGGTCTAGTGGCAGAGTTACATCTCTTTGTGGTTCCTGGAATAGTGGCTAGTTTGATAAGGTTTCACTTTGTATTTTTGCACGACACCTTTCCCTGAATCCCTTTTCTCTTAATTCTCACTGACATCTTCCATAAAAGCTTTGGAACACAATCTTGCCTCAGGTGGAACCCAAGCTGGAGCAGAGCGAATCAAAACTTCAATCTAGAATCTGTTGAGTTTGAGATAGCTGTTACATGTCCAAATGAGTATGTTGAGTAGAAAGCTAGACGTAAACCCCAAGGGTTCAGAAATGAGATGTGAGTGTAGGCGCTGTGGCATTTTGAGTAAATCCATTGCCTGCAATGTCCACATCCCATATAGGTATCAGTTGATGACCCAGCTGATCT